GCCTTCAACGAGCATCACCATGGAAGATTCTCAGGCATTATGGGATAACAGAAATTAGTCAATGTAATCAAATCAATATTAGAACATTTTAAATGCAAAGTCATCCACCAGAACCAGATATCTGAAGCTTGAATGTCTAATTCTGTAAATCAATGAGGGAAAAAATAAGGAGATCCAGTGGACACTCACATTGATGTTGGAAAACAATGCTGACAACACTGGGTTTCTCTCAAGCAGACACCAAGATGTGCAGCAGAAGGTCAAAGTCTTTTAGAGATAGACAGCATCATCGGCCTCAAAGTCAACAGCAAAAAGACACTAATGAAAATGAACTCCAGAGTTGAAACAGTGGAGCAGTTTGTCTACCTTAATTGGCAGCAAAATTACACTTGATAGTGACAAGAAATAAACAATAGGATCATCAAAGCAAACCAAATGTATGCTATGCTCAAACCCATATGGAGGTCCACCATATTAAATACAAATACCGAAATCAAGATTTCCAAGAGCAAAGTGCTCAACCATACTCTTGTACGGCTCTGAATGTTGGACGACTACTACTGCCATCGAGAGTAAGCTTGATGTCTTCCAAACCAAATGCCTCCAGTGCTTATTGAAGACCTTTTGGCTCAATACATCACCAGCGGTCAGATGAGCAGAGCAGGGATGCAAAACATCTCATAAGCCATACAGCTGCACCGCTGGAGAGACTTAGTCATGTCTGCAAAAAGACACCCAACTCTATACTCAGGACAGCACAAGGAAAAAGAAACCTGGTGTAGGGTCCTCCAGACAACTCCTATTTCACCGGTGACTGGTTCTGTGCAACTTTTGCTCAAAGCCTCATTCCAAGCAACCTGTTATCCAAGACATAATGTGGTTCCCAGCCAGAAGTGTTCCTTGATCACTAAATTACCAGATAACCTCACCTTTGACGTCACAGGTTCCATTTGTTCAACAGTGCCAATCGACCAATCAGGAGCGAGGAGGATTCCCAATGGACGTGACCTCACTGTACGAGAAAGAACGTTCTTTCAGTTGCTCACTGACTTGTGAAAGGTCATACAGAGTTGATTTAGAAACTACGGAGTCTCAATGTTCTGATTTAGGATTTATAGTTGGATCGATGTGCACTGACCGCTACAGTATTCTTGTCAGAGAACTCAGAGTCATGTCTCAATGATAGCCTTTTAATGATTGCTCTGGCATCAACATAGATGGACATGTGCAAGGTTTTCTAGAACAATAAAATAAAAATAATAATTAGCAGATGAATCACTTAAGTGTTACATAATAGATATAAATAATAAACAACAAAGTATCTTTTACTTATACAAGTCAAAGTGATTGATCGCTATATTTAACTTCAAAGGATTGACGGCATATAATACAGTGTGTAATACACGTGCGGTAAATGGGTCGCATTAATATAAATAAATAAACTTAGAAACAGTATCTGCAACAAATATATTTGCAATATAACATTAATATTCAAATAACACTGGACTTACTTGTCCGTTACTCATACAATGTCCTTATAATGCGAGCAATCCAGAGAACTTTCCAGTCAGAACGACTGATGCAACTCTATAGCGCTACGCTTATTCTCAGTCTATTAAGACTGACTGACAGACTCCGCAGGTTGTGCACTATTCCATTGTGCGCATCTTCGTCATTACGCCAAACATGGAGAATTCGGAACAGTTGCCCCCACATTTGAGTAGCAAATGTGTCAATTAGTAGAATTCTTTATGTTTGCAGATTTTCCGTATTTTCTGGCAATCCTGGAAGAGGGACAAGGCGGGCTGTGTGTAGATTTTATCCCGTACTTGAATTTCAACAGTTCGTACGCAACCATCTCTGCTTGGAATGAATTTCCCCACACGACCTATAGGCCATTGGTCTCGTGGTAGGTTAGGGTCAGTTATCATTACCACTGTATCCAGGGTAAGGGGCTCTGTCGGTTGCTGCCATTTGTAGCGGGAATGATGGGTTGGCAAGTAATCTCGTAGGTAACGGATCCAAAACTGATCTATTAAGTTCTGACAATGCTGCCATCTACGGCGTCCTATGGTTTCAGAAGCATAAACTGCTTGTGGCAAAGAAGCGTCCCGGCGCCCCATGAGAAGCATATTTGGTGTTATAGGGTCGGGATTAGCCACGTCAGCTGAAACGTATCCAAGAGGCTTAGAATTAAAAATACCTTCCACTTCAACTAGGATGGTTTGAAGTACGTCTTCTGACAGTGATTGAGTTCCCACAGCAACCTGGAGTGCACTCTTGATGGAACGAATCTCCTGCTCCCATGCCCCTCCGAAGTGTGGCGCATTAGGGGGATTGAATTTGAAATCGATCTGGTAATTTACCAGTTGTTGTTGAAGCTGCGGTTCCAATTCCTTGAAAGCTGTCCGGAGTTCCCTGTCAGCTCCTTTGAAATTCATGCCTTGATCTGAAATTATTTCTGCTGGTTTGCCTCGCCAGGCAATGAACCTGCGGAGGGAAGGCATCTGTATCCAGTGAATTAAGGAGATCCAAATGAATGGCACTTAAAAATCACTCCCCACCATTTCTCATTTCGTCTGCCTATCTTGGTAATGATTGGCCCGAAACAGTCAACACCTGTTGAGAAGAAAGGTGGGCGGAAGATGCGGAGGTGAGCCTTTGGCAAATCTACCATTTTAGGAACTTTAGGCTGTGCTCTCCATCTTTGACATTCTGGGCAGTGAAGTTGGTACTTTTTAATGACTTGTCGACCTCTCAAGATCCAATATTGTCTTCTGATTTCTGCAAATAATCTTTCAGAGCCAGCATGTAGCAACCGTCCATCATAGTCTTTAATAAGGAGCATGGTAGCGGGATGACGAGGGTCAAGGACAATGGGATGGATATCAAGGTCACTGACCTGCTGTAACTGCCGTAGCCTCCCACCTACTCTGATGAGGTCTGTTGTTTGGTCCAGCTCTGGCGCTAGATTTTTGAGTTTGCTGCTGATATGAACTGGCTGGCCTGCTCTTAGAGAAACAAGCTCTTCTGAAAAACGTTGTGCTTGGCAGGCTCGCAGGAGAATAGCTTCTGCTTCACGGTAACTGTTAATCAATTGAGTCTGGTTTGGCTCTGCCGCCCCGTGGCATTGCTGACGTACATCCTCGACCAGGTCCTTCCATGAATCAAACTGGTTTGCATCTGGAATATTCTGTGGTACTGATGCAAAACTGCAGAATGTCAGACCTTTCAGTTCGTTGGACTTAGATGGCTGAGTGATGTGTGGTCTCTTAGGCCATTTATCTGGAGCTTGCAAAAGGAAAGATGGCCCGTTACTCCACCTGCTGGGTATAGTAAGCTCTAGAAATGTTTTGCCTCGTGTCAAGTCGTCAGCTGGGTTATTAAGTGAGTCGACATAACGCCATGATCGCTGATCTGTCAGTTCCTGTATTTCTGATACACGAGTGCCGACAAATACCTTGAACCGGCATGACTCCGACTGTAGCCATTCTAGGACAGTTGTAGAGTCTGTCCATAGTGTGGTCTGTTGCAAGTAGGATGACAATTCTGCCTGGATTAATTTTGCCAGCTGTGCTCTGGCCAGTGCCGCGCACAACGCTAACCGTGGCATGGTCTGTTGACGTTTAGGGGCCACTTTCGACCTGGCCATAATGAATGAGACATTGGTGAGGCCCTCATGAGTTGTAGAAAGGTATGCTACCGCTCCATAAACCCTTTCTGACGCATCACAGAAAACATGGAGGTGATGCTCAAATCCGGGATTATCCATTGCTTCGGGAACATAGCAATGCGGGATTGAAACTGTGCTGAGATGTGGTAATTCACTCTCCCAGACATTCTAAGACTCACGCAGATCTGCAGGGAGGTCTGGGTCATCCCAGTCTCTTTTCTTTGACCATAGCTGCTGTATGAGAATCTTGGCTCTGGTGGTATAAGGCGTAATGAAACCCAAAGGGTCATACTGACTCACTAGTATCTTGTAAACTGTAAGCATTGTCAGTGCTGAATGCTCGATAGGTCGGTATCTGTAACCCAGTGTGTCTGTTCCACAATTCCAGCAGAGTCTTAATGTGGGTTCTTGAAGGTCACACCGATTGTGTTTCAGCCACAGCTCCATGTCCCGGGACCTAGAATCAGATGATAAAGTGAGCCACTACTGATGACTGGTTGCTCGTCCACTGCCTAATTTCAAATCCACCATCCGCCATTATTGCCCGCAAGTCATCCACTCTAGTCTTGGCTGCTGCAGCAGTAGGTAGACTCTCCAGACAGTTATCAACATAGAAACTGGATTCGACAGTCTGGATGAGGTCAGAAGTTCTGCATGGGTGTTCTTTGATGTGCTTTTGTAGTGCATAAATAGCACAGTAGGGACTACTGGTTGTCCCGAACGGCAGCACCTGCCATTCATATACTTGCGGTGGAATCTCTCGTTGCAAATCCCACCAAAGGAATCTCAGTAAGGGTCTGTCTTCGGGTAACAGGCGAACCTGGTGAAACATACCCTTGATGTCTCCACTGATTGCAACACTGTGCTGTCGAAATCGCAGTAGGACCCCAAGGAGGGATGGTCCCATTGTATTTGTATTTAATACTCCCTTTTTATTTTAAAATATAATAGAAACTTATGTGCACCCCTGTTTATAACATCTAAATGATACTTCGGTAGATTTACTTACAAATTAGAATAAACCCAAAGAAAAAGTAGCAAATATATTTACATTTCATAAGAAAAAAATCTGTTTTCCCAACATTTAATTAAAAAGGTGAATGACACAAAAAGAGTTCAGAGACAATTTTTTTGCAGTGTTTCTTGAACTGGAGTTTTAAAGCTTGAATAAACTTCTTTGACAGCAAGATCTGCTGATAGCCCCTGCACAAACAAAACAGAAATTTCTGGTCAAAATGATGCAAGAAAAACAGACACATACATATACATATACATATATACACAATAGTAGGGTATAAGCAAAGCATTTAGTAGTGAGATATGGTGTATTATGTATTTGACATGTTTATTTATGAAATTGCTTCAGGTTTGATGGGATATACAGTACAAGCACAATGTAATGAATACTGGCACTATTGACAACATACACAAATATAAACAAATTAACATAGATGCAACAGAATCACAGACAATTTAATATAACATCAACCATCATATAATTGTAGCTGTAATGACAGACAAACAATGTTCAGCTTGCAAACCGTAACCTGCAGCTTCAGGTCATTTTGAGCAGCCAATTTCCTTTTAGTGCACATAAAGTGCTGCAATGTTTGAATTAAAGGAACAGAAAAAATATATTTTATAAAAATGCAACAAATTTAAAAGCATCACAGGAATAAATTACATTTTAAAATATATTCAAATAGAAAAGTTATTTTAAATTGTAATAATATTTACATTTACATTTAGCAGACGCTTTTATCCAAAGCGACTTTCAAATGAGGACAATGGAAGCAATCAAAATCAATAAAAGAGCAATGATATGCAAGTGCAATAACAAGTCTCAGTTAGCTTAATGCCGCACACGTAGCAAGGTTTTTTAAAATCATATAATAAATAAAAAGAAAACAGATAGAATACAAAAAGATGATAGAAGCTAGTGTTAGTTTTTTTTAAAGAAAACAAGCAGTTAGTAAACAAATAGAGTGCAAGCTTAAAAGGGGCAAGTTTTTTTTTATAAAGAATAGAATTAGAATAGAGTACTAGAGTTAGAGGGTCAAAATTTTAATTTCACAATATTACTCTTTTTACTGTATTTTTTATCAAACAAAAGCAGCCTTGATGAGCCTAAGAGACTTAATTCAGAGACTTAATTGTGTTTGTTTATTTATTAATTCGGGTGAATTATGTAAATGATGGATCGAAAAATTAATCGATACTTACCTCATTCCCTTGATTAGCTCCAACTGTTTGAGCCAAAGGCACATTGGTTTCAGGCTCACTTCTGTCTGCACTCCGTGTGTCTTTCTGTTCTTTTTTGTCCACAGTAGATGCCGTTTTCTCTTTTTCCTCAGCTTTCACTTCAGGCTCTGCATTTTCCTTTGTACCAGGATCCACCTCCTCTGTCCGCTGCTGAAAATCAGTCTCATCATCACTGGACATGTTACCTGTAGCACGCACAGTCTCTACTCTCTGAGTCTCTCTGGGAATGCCAGAAAATTCCTGTCGGAGTTCCATGCTTCTGTCCTCCTGTCTGTTTTGTGGGGCAAGAGCATCTCCTGCCCTGATGCCCTGGTCACCTGCTTGGTCTACTCTGTTTCTATTGTCCTGGTGCACCTGCAGTGGCTGTGGAGTGTCACCCCCTTCCCAAGCTTCCTCATGCTCCCTTAGTTGAGGAGCTTGGCGCTGTCCTACAGCAGGAGACGGCGGGTCCCGTCGCCCACCGAGCCGAGGAAAGTTAACTGCTTGATGTATAGCTGCTTGAGCACCTCCATACATGAACATCTGAGAGGAGCAAAGATGCCTTAGATGATAACAAATAAATGATCCTACAGTATGTTTGCTGTTCACAGCTCTTACAATGATGGCGAGTGCAATGATGAGCAGCACAGGTAACTGGAGAGTGACTGGTAGATCCTTCAGCAGGGCTCTGAGGAACTCACTGATTCCCTGTCCAATTTGCTTCAAGGGGTCCGTGATGAAACTGGTTATGGTGACCGTGATAGCCTACAATAAAACCCCACAAATCTATTATTAATGCATTTCATCTCTGGTTACAACTCTCATAACAACATTTGGAACAAAGATTTTATTGGAAGTGTTATTATTTAGTCCAGGGTGGACGTATCTGTTTTTTTAATTTATCTAAATGGATCATCATACCGTTTTTGCCTTTAGGTTCAGATTATTTTACACTGAACATTTTCACAACAACATAATTATCAGTCGACCTCTAGTCTCTTATCACGTTTCTGTCGTTAGAAAGATACAAACCTTTGTTGGAGGCACAAGCAAAATGGGGTTCACCACAAGGACCTCGTAATACTTTTTGCAAGGATCATCTTGAAGAGTCCATGTCCGTCTGTACCACTCTAAATAAACAAAGAGTTACACCAGTTCATCTCAAAATCATTATTTACTCACTGTCATGTCATTTCAAATCTGTAGGCTTTTCAGTGGAACTCAAAAGCAGAATTTTGAAAAATCGTACTTCTATAATACTTTTGGAGCTTAAAAGTATCTGTGAAGATTCAAGTTTCACATCATACAGGTTTGGAATGACATACAGGTGAATAAATAATCAAATTATTCAAGCTTTTGGAGAACAACTTCTTATAACATTAATCACCTTACCTGATAAACTGTCCTTCCAGTCCAGTTGTTTCAGCCCAGTGCATTTGCCATTGAAGCTCTCCACCTCCACAATGTTCTTCTTGTGTTCTGCAAAGGAAACCTAGCCATGGAGAAATATTTAAACCAATTTAACTCTTCATTGTACAATACAGTAAACACACCTTTCAACTCTTCATTGTTATCTATTCAGTACTGCTTTAGCTAAACAGTCTTGGACAGTCAACAGCACAAGAATAATTACCATATAAAGATGGAACCAGTTCCAGATCAAGCTAATAAAAAAGCACACAGCAAACATTCTTCTGAACTGGACAAACCAGCAGACCACAGACCAGAGCTCAGTGCTGATTATGGCTACGACAATCAGAACAATCAAAGAAACCTGTAGAACAAAAAACAGCACATATTGCATTTATTATTTCTGAGATTGCTGCAAAACACCAGTCTTTCGAAAATAATTTTAATGCAATTATTTAAATTATCTTGGAATGCTTTTACAAGAACTGACCTTCAGAGCGGTATCAGCATCTACATAAAATGTATCTTCGAAACGCCACTTCCAGGCTTCGTGGTCGTGGAGTTTGAATCTGAGCAGAATTTGACTGAGAGCCTCATCCATGGCTCCAGTGGTCCAGTCGTTCTCTTCATTCAAAAGCTTCTGGATCTCCATCAGCGACTGCTTGGACAGCTTCACCTCAGCGTCATAATGCATGGATGTCTGTCCATCATCAGGCTAAAGATTAAAAAAAGGAAAAGTTGTAAAACTGTAACCAATGTAGATTCATGTTGAATCAGTTCCCTGGAGAAAACACAGTCAGTCACATACCAGGCCAAGTTTTGAAGTTTCTTTAAGGAGCCTGGAAAGGAATCGCTTGAATACTGGAAGACACACTGGATTTATAGAGGTGGTGGTCTCCTTCTTTTTCTGTTCATCAAACTAAAAACACAGCAAGAAATAATAATATATTTTCAGTCATTCAAAGTGCTGAATGGTACAATACTACATTTACATTAGTCATTTAGCAGACGCTTTTATCCAATCCGACTTACAAATGAAGACAATAGAAGCAATCAAAACCAACAAAAGGGCAATAATATGTAAGTGCTGTGACAAGTCTCGGTAAGCCTAATACAGTACATGTAGCAAGGTTTTTGTTTTTTTTATAATAAATAAAATGAATTGCTAGTATTAGAGGGTCTTTTTTTATGAAAATAAAATAAGTCAAAAGAATAGAAAAAGAATAGAGAGTGCTAGAGGTAGAGGGTCAAATGAAGATGGAAGAGATGTGTCTTTAGCCGTTTCTTGAAGATGGCTAAGGACTCGGATTGAGTTGGGCAGGTCATTCCACCAGGAGGGAACAGTTAATGTTTACTAGTCTTCAGTACTTAAAAAATACCATGGTAATTTCATTGTACCATGTCCAAAAACATGGCATTACCATTTTGTTAGTGAAGCCTACTAAACAAAGGTATATTTCCATATTTCTCACCTCTTTTTGCAAAATCCCAAGTTTAATGGTGCAGTCAAACACATCAGGACACTGTTGCACTTCACAGGAGTCTGAGCTGAATTCCCTCCTCTTGGTTGGCACATTTGGGTAACTGGCAGACTGTTAAAAAACAACAACAACAACAAAAGTTATAATGTGAGGTAGATTTGTGTTCCCTGCAAAAATGACAGTGCTTACAGGAGCTTATGTGATAAAAAGACGAATCACACTTTGAGTTAAGTGAGTTCAGTGAGTGAGCTGTTGACTCACTAACTGTGAATCAAACTGTCAGAAAGAAATGGTTTAACTGAGATAAAGGGATAGTTCACCCAAAAATGAAAATTATCCCATAATTTACTCACCCTCAAGCCATCCTCGGTGCATACGAGTATGACTTTTTTTCTTTCAGATGAATCCAATCGGAGTTATATAAAAAATGACCTGGCTCTTTCAAGCTTTATAATGGCAGTGAGTGGGTGTTTCTTGTCAATAGTCTCCACACGGCACCGGGGGGTGAATAAAGGCCTCCAGAAGCAAATCAATGTGTTTTGTGCCAGAGGATTTTGATATAAGCCAAGAGACGACTGGTTTTCCTTTGCTAAAGTAAGGGAACTTTGCTTCCTTTGCTCCTGTAAACAAAAGTCGGTTCTCGCGAGATTAGCATATTCTCACCAGACCTTACCGCCGGAATGAACGTGTGTGCGACAGTTAGCGGAAACTAGAGATTATGTTTATAAAGTTTTAAATATGGATATTTTTCTTACAAAAACGTGATTTGCTTCAGGAGGCCTTGTTTAACCCTCAGAGCCGTGTGGAGTACATTTTATGATGGATGCACTTTATTGGACTTCTTTTGGACTATTGACAAGAAACACCCACTCACTGCCATTATAAAGCTTGGAAGAGCCAGCTCTTTTTTTTATATATAACTGATTGGATTCGTCTGAAAGAAGAAAGTCATATACACCTAGGATGTAGGTGATGTAGGTTGAAGGCGAGTAAATTATGGGGTAATTTTCATTTTTGGGTGAACTATACCTTTAAGGTGCAATCACATAAACTATTGTTCTGCAAATCCCGGCATTTCAATAGGAATCCAGGTGATTTGGAATTTCACGTTTCCACAAGCAGATTTCGCAACGGGTTCAGGTAGATCATGTGAATACGTTGCGCTGACCAACAGAAAGTGACTTTGTAAGCTGTTCTTCATACACTGCTATACTATTAACAATAGACAATCGACCTTTTTTGCCCCCAAAATGTCTCTATGAGACCGCGCCTTTAAACTGAGTTTTTAAATGAGTTGTCACTCAAGAACCTCTAATACCGATTAGCGAAAAAAATTAGTAGATTTGTGAACCAGTACATTTTAATAGATTCTGAACCACTTCAACAGATTCATTAAATAAATAAATTAATTAAAAATTAAACACACAGGATTTAACGGTCTCATGAACGCGCAGTGAGCAAAGCAGACCACAGGAGTTATGCTAAATAATGGACCCTTTTCACAAGACTGTGATGACGCGTTTAACGGTCATCAGCATCGTAAATCCTCGAACGTTTTTTTTTTTTTAAATGTACGTACATTTATAACACTATTCTTTGTATTATATCACCTTTGCATCAAATTACAAAAAAAACAGTTAACGCTAATGCGAGGGTGTTTCTAATGCAGCGTCTATGGGAGGGACGGTAAATTTGACAACGTTCTCTCTTCTGACAACCGTTATCAGTCTCTCTCAATTTTTTTCCTTTTATTGAAAGTCATGAAAACACTATCGTGGAGTTTTTCTTTTGCTATTTGAGCAAATGGGAATGCAAAAAATATATTTGTGGTAATCTCCCATTAACTGCTATTCAAGTTAACCCAACTATGACAACTTCCACTACTGAGAAACCCGGAAATGTGAAAAAGATCCATTAAAGGGGTCATATGATGCGATTTCAAGTTTTCCTTTTTCTTTCAAGTGTTACAAGCTCTTGGTGCATAAAGAAGATCTGTAAAGTTGCAAAGACTAACGTCTCAAATCCAAAGATATATTCTTTATAAAAGTTAAGAGTCAGCCACACCTACCTAAAACGGCTCGTTCTAACACGCCCCCACATGTCTACATCACGATGTGGGAAGATTTGCATAACGCCGCCAAAATGTTCACGCAAAGAAAGAAGGTGTAACTTTTATTCTCGCTGTAGTATTGTTGTTGCTGCCGCCATGTCGTGGAGACACTGTGTTTCGTTGTGAAAGCGAAACTACTTTGTTTGGCCTTCCAAAAGAGGACGATATCTGCTTCGTCATGCCTGGAGCTGAACCGTTCTGGTCGCTGAGGAAATACATCAACTTTGCGCTGTGGATCGCCGGATCGGCTTTCACTGTGGACGAAGCGGAGTCCAGCCCGGGGTCGTCACATGTGGTTGCCTCAAGCCCGCCGGCCGCTCCTTCATCGAATCTGTCGGCTGCGCCGTTCTCAAGCTCACCGGCCTCCTCTCACTCTAGGCCGCCGCCGTGTGTGACGCTGTTTCGTTGTGAAAGCGAAACTACTTTGTTTGGGCTTCCAAAAGAGGACACGACTAGAAATCAGTGGTTAAGTTGTATTTACAACACTGTTCCAGAACACTTCAACACAAATATTCAGATGTGTGCAGCACATTTTATGGAGGACTGTTTCCTGGGAGAGTAGACTACAATGCCGGCTGTTCTGACTCACAGACTGTAAGTACGTTTTTTATATTTAAAGAATTTGCCACTGACTATTCAAACGCGAGTTTTGGGCAGTGTAGAGTAGTGCTTGTTGTTTGTCATTTCTCCGATCACAAATGCAGACATGGTTTTATGTTTACGCGGCGCGATGCAACGCAACGCGTAAAAAGACAGTATAAGTCATTATAATCTGTAATTATGTCCCCACTGGATGCAACAAATGCCTCGTTTATAATGTTTTTGTGTCGCCACCCCGGCCGGGACAGGGCATCATCACAATATGGTAGGGGCGTAACATTTCTGTCACACACTTGAGGTATTCGGCCAATCACAACGCACTGGATAGCTGGCCAATCAGAGCACACCTCGCTTTTCAGACCGATGAGCTTTGTAAAAATCGACACGTTTCAGAAAGGCGGGGCATAGAGGAGAAACAATAATGTACAGTATGTGGAAAATAATGTGTTTTTTTAACCTTAAACCGCATAAACACATTTCATTACACCAAATATACAAAATAATATTATTTTTAGTAACATCATATGACCCCTTTAAAATAAATTTCGGTTTGGGTTTGGACGAGCACGAGAAGGACTTTTGATCTGAAAATGAAAGTAGGAGTAATAGTGGCTTTCACTTTTGGAGGAACTATTCCTTTCAATTTCATATAAAACATAGATTATGTATTATATGAAATGTAATTTTATACGGTTTATTTTATATGTGCACTTGGATGGGTTAAGTGCAGAGCACAAATTCCGAGTATGGGTCACCATACTCGGCCACACGTCACTTTAAAATTATTTACAATGCAAAGTTTGAATGGAGTCTGTTTTTCACGCAAAACAATGAATTTAAATGTCCTGCAACCAGCTGTAATATAGGATATAACTGTCTGGTTTAATAAAAGCATTTTTCTTTTCTTTTACCTCTGTGGGTTTTCTCATGCGCTTTGTCGTCGGGTCGTAGTTGAGCATGTCATATGGATCAATCCATGCATCATCCTCATCCTGGTGGATATTTGCATTTGCAATAACAAACAGACTACAAAAAACGAGCAAACTCCAGAAACCAAACGACGAACAGCTCGGCACCTTCATAATCTCCACTGGAACAGACAACAATGAGAAAACTCAGATTTACTGGTAAAACTGCTGATCGATTATTATAATAGTGTAAGTTAAATAAAGTTAAGATTCAGCTTTCTTGGACACTGTTTATTATATGTTTACCATCTGTCTAGCCTACATTACTTTAAAATGTACTAAATGCATATATCGGCTGCATAAAAGTTACACACTGACGGCTAAATAATGACAAAATAGATCAACTAAAAAAAAAAAAAACAATCGAACAAGGTACCAAACATTTCCTTACATGCTGGAAGAACGGAAGACAGCTGTCATATACTTCCACATAGAAAAACACACCTAGAATATAACCGTAATTGTTCAAAACCTCAAATACGGATTCTATGTATTGACATCTATGTGTAGTCATATGTGAAGAAGTTTCTTCGTTGGTTTAACTCCATAACTTCGTGTGGCACTCATCGCCCCCAAGCGGACAGTGTTATTATCTACAATTCAACCTTGACTACTGAAACAAATGAATAGCAAAACAAAAATTATATATATATATATATAGAGAGAGAGAGAGATAAAGCGTATCATGATTGTATATGCATTCACATATATATATATATATATACATATACACACACATTTATGAAATATAAACAATAAAATAATAATGAAAACATTGTTGTAATTTTGATCAATGGTACATTTATGTACAGAACATTATAGTGATCATCTCATTACAGATTAGTTTTAGAATGAAAATGTAAAAAAAAAACGTAATGTAGAAGAATCAGTGAGCCATTCATCAGGCTAAATCTTATAGTTTCAAAACTGTGTTTATTTCCATGTTCAAATAAATTACTAATACATACTTTGTACATCAGGTGATTGAGAGAGTCCTCTAACTGTCCTCTGCATCAATACAAAACGGTGCTGAATTTATGTGCAAATGTGATGCATATTATGCATATAAATATATGCATTAGGAAAATGACAATCCAAAATAAAAGCATTCCTAAAAATGCATGAAACTGTTTCCACAACACTGAGGAGGACGACGTTCACAAAACATTTATCCTCAGTATTTACAGAGTGTTGGTTCATTTACAGTTATTTAAATGAAGACATGAATATTCATGCTGCATAAACAGTTGCTGAATGTGTGAAGTCCATAGTGCTATGTGCTATACAATGATCTAATGCCTTGAGTTAGCATTTAAACCTATACAAAAGCTCCTATTTACAAGACATTCAGTTTAATAAGTGTAACTACAGAGAACATCACCTCAAGGCACAGTTCAGCTCACATTTTCAAGACTGTTTCGTTCAATTGAAATAGCAAAATACAGAAGCAATGCTACGCGTGGCATTGTTTGTAAGTTAAGAAACCTCATTAGTTTGTTCGTTTTTTTTTCTGAATTGCAATACATTTGACAATAAAGCTGTTTCTTCCAGTAGACATGCGATTCCAGATGTAGACATGACTAGAATGAACAGTCGGTTCTTTTGTTTTCTCGTGAGTGTACTGGAGTAAAGTTACAAAGAAATACAAACAGACATACACTGACACACACTGTCACTCTGATCTGTCCTTCTCAATCTGAGTGCAGGTTGTTTTTCTGTGCTCTTCCACATGGCTTCTGCTGTGGGTTAAGGCTGATACGCCCACAGTGTGACCGTCTTATCGGCTGAGGAGGACAGGAAGGACAGGTCTCTGGTGTGCCACCGGCACTGGATCACTTTATCAGCGTGTTCAGCGACCACAGTGACCGGCAGCGATTTGGTGAGATCCCCTGGAGATAAACAGGGGAGTTTAACGCGCATAAAATGGCATTTGCAAATTTTACTTCCAGAATGTGACATAAAAAGTATAGTGAGATTTATATTATTATTATTATTTATATATTATTATTATTATTATTATTATTATACTAACTGTTATTACTATGACTACTACGACTGCTACTACTATTATTATTATTATTAATATTATTATAAATCCCACTGTACTAAAATAAATAAAAAAATTGATTGTTGTTCAATAATATACAATTATATAATTATATAAAATAATAATATATATGTAATTGTTTTTAATATTACAATTAATAATAATAATAATAATAATACAATTAAAAAATGTAAACAAAAAATATGAAATGGCATTCATAAGCCAGGCATTATTTCTGTAATGTGACAAAGGAACAGTGGGATTTAATTTGATAATAATAATAATTATTATTATTAAAAGAGCTCACATTATTTATTTATTTAATTGTTTTTTAATTTTAATATAGTTATTATTATTATTATTATCATTATTATTGTTATTAACAATATTAAAACCATTTCATTAAAAAATAAGCATTATAAGCATTATAATTTTAACACTATCAATTATTAATACATATACAATAATAATTATTTTATTATTATTATTATAAAATAATAATAAAATTCAACGTTAATTCAGTGAAAAGAACTGACTTTCATTTTTTAAATTGTGTAATAATAATTAATAATCAAATATAATAATATTAATTAATAATAATAGTAATAATTAAAAAGTCCAAAACCAATTTACTGAAAAAAGCTGATATGAAATGGCATTCACAAGCTATATTACATCTATAATGTGACAATTACTGTAATTTTGAGTGAAAATATTATTTTTATTAATGCTTGATTAGATCAGTGGACTTATGACAGGTGGTTGGAGAGAGGGCTGACAAATAAGAAATAATGATGACATTATTTGTGGCGTGACCTACCTTGAAGGTCAGCGATCATGACTTTGTTGTCGTAGGAGCCGGTGAGCAGGTAGTGAGCAGCAGGAGAGAAGCGCACAGAACGCACGTCGCTGGTGTGCGGCCGATACGCCTGGACGCTTCGACCTCCTCTGATGTCATAAAGCATGCAGCGACAGTCCTCCAATCCGGTGGCCATGAGTCGCCCACTGGGATCCACTGCCACCGAGGCCACAGCACTTCCTGTCACATGACACAATAATCTACAGTATATGAACCATACCTCTGCGCAAAGACAGATTCAATAACAAAATACATGGACGGCATTCGATTATTATTGTTACTGTTGTTATATTGCATTTATTTATTTGCATTGGTCTTTGTCACGTATATTGGTATACAATATTGTATTTATTAGTTCTAATACTAATCATTGTTAGTATTATTATAATCATAGTATTTTATTATTAGTAATAATGGTTGCTATTATTATCACCATATAATATAGTTATATTAATATAATAATAATAATAATAAATATTATAATTATTGCTGTTGTTGTTAGATGTTGTTATTTTATTTATTATCATATAAACAAAAATTGTTATATTATTATTTTATAGATTTTTTTGCATTGTCACTGAATTGGTTTTGAACTTTAATATTCTGTAAAACTAAGATTAATAGTATTCTGATTATTATTTTGTTATCATTATTATTTTTTACATTGGTTTTTGTAACTGAACTGGTTTTTAAGTTTAATATCGTTTAATAATTCTAAAATTAATATGAATACAATTATAATTATTATTCTTGTAGTCAATATTGTAATATTTTTTATCAAATACTGTATTATTATTATTATTAAACAGTATTACATTTCAAAATTAATTAAGTGAAAAGAACTGACATTATTTATTTATCTGTTTTATTTGCATCAGTTCTTTTCAATGAATCGGTCAAAATAATTTACAAAATGGTCTGAATTATTTATTGACAAATCACTCTGAATATGGTTTGAACAATCTCTAGAATTTTTTATCCCATAAAATCACAAACAGCTAGGAAGGTCAAAAAAACAAACATGGGAACCGTGATGTCCTAAATAAAGCCTTGTAAAGGAGCAGAGAGGAAACACACACCTGTTCCATGCTGGGCCGTCCCAACCACCTTCACACAGCTGGGCACACGCAGGTCCCAAAACCTCACTGTCTTATCCTGAGAGCCGGAGGCGATCATCCACCCGCCCCACGTGTACAGAGACAGGATGTGTCCTGCAACGGCATGTCAGATCATACAACACAACATGACATCCTGTTCATACATGAAGAGGATGGTGTGTGTGTGTGTGTACCTGTGTGTCCACTGAGCGCGTGCAGCCCCTGTCCTCTCTGGCAGTCAGTGGTGTAGATGTTACAGTCTCCAGCCCCAGCACTGATCAGGATGGCCCCTCCGCTCTCAGGACCCTCCATAAACGCCAGGTCTCTGATGGTGCCATCATGCATGCTGAACTCTAGATCTGGACCTGCAGTCCACACACACACACACACACACACACACACACACACACACA